CCTAAAAGCTTTTGATCTTTCCTTTGTGGGGGGATTTGAGGGCAACCTAGATGCCATCCCAAGATTTGCTGTGTTTTTGCTTCCATTAGTGATTGCCTCTTTATTCCCATTTACTGTCCTTCTCATTCGAATGCAGAATGTTCTGTGCAGAAAGAAACCATGAATCCTCCCATGTTTTGCAGAATACTCTGCAGATTCTGACTAGTGAGCAGTAATATAGGGTTAATAGTCAAATAGGGTCAAGTAGTATAGGATTAATAATAACTGTGTGCCATCAAGTCAAGCAAGATCTGTCCCTGCCAGTCCCCTATCCCTTGATCCTCCTGGGAAGAGGATCTCCTACCTGGGGTAAAGCCAAATGCTCATCCCTCTCATTAGGGATCCACTGATATTCACAAAAATCACTCACCTCCGATGCAACCAATAAAGCCAACAATGACAGAATATAACAGTTACAACAATATAACAATTGAGGCAGCTCCTATTTCCCCTACACCCTAAACCACAGCATAAAAGGAGAGTGGGTGGGTGAAGTCAAGGGGAAAACTGGTTGAAAAGGATCCCAGAACACCTTTGTATACTCCCACAAAGGACTAGATTGGAAGGCTCCTCTCCCAGACTTTGCCTGGCTGCTTCCCATTGGCAGTCCTGCCACATTTGCTTCCGATCCCTCCCAGGTGAACAAAGAAGCTCGGGAAGGGGATGAGAACCACACGCAGAACCCCAGGTACATTTATTAGCCTGGGTAACCCTAGTTTCTGAATACTGTCTACCTAGAAAACCCTGAAAAGGATCACTATAACTCTGAATTGACTTGATAACACATAATTATTAGTATAGTATAAATAGTCAAATAGGATTGAACAGCTCTTGCTGCTTAAGATTCAAATATGGTCAAAAGTGTCTTGACAACAGAATTGGGATCCCCACCAAGACAGTCAGGTTTCTTCCCTTTTAAATCAAAGTGAGAAATTCAGAAAAACTAACTAAAATTTATTGATTTCAGTGGAACTGAACTTTGTAACTAAGGACATGGTTACACAAGTGAAATCTATCAAAACATGCAATGGTGTTATTGAAATGGTTTTAAAGTCATGTGTAGTCATGTAATGTCTTAATCTTTGTGTACATTCCCTTGGAGCAACTTTTAATCTTGTGGGTTTTTTAAGTGCTGTACCAATGTCAGAGACTACACTCACAATTTAAATTGCATTTATTTATATCATTGCATTTCCAAAACACAGCCTGGGTGACCCTAGTTTCTGAATACTGTCTACCTAGAAAACCCTGAAAAGGATCACTATAACTCTGAATTGACTTGATAACACATAATTATTAGTATAGTATAAATAGTCAAATAGGATTGAACAGCTCTTGCTGCTTAAGATTCAAATATGGTCAAAAGTGTCTTGACAACAGAATTGGGATCCCCACCAAGACAGTCAGGTTTCTTCCCTTTTAAATCAAAGTGAGAAATTCAGAAAGACTAACTAAAATTCATTGATTTCAGTGGAACTGAACTTTGTAACTAAGGACATGGTTACACAAGTGAAATCTATCAAAACATGCAATGGTGTTATTGAAATGGTTTTAAAGTCATGTGTAGTCATGTAATGTCTTAATCTTTGTGTACATTCCCTTGGAGCAACTTTTAATCTTGTGGGTTTTTTAAGTGCTGTACCAATGTCAGAGACTACACTCACAATTTAAATTGCATTTATTTATATCATTGCATTTCCAAAACACCCATGGATTGTGATGTTTGCCTAACAATCACGGAGCTCCATGCCGTGCCCAAGAAACCAGTATTTTGACCTACAGATTTTTTTTCTTGTTTATTTATTTATTTATTTATTTATTGGACTTATATACCGCCCCATAGCGCTACAAGCACTCTCCGGGCGGTTTACATTTTTTAATTATACAGGCTACACATTGCCCCCCCCCCCAGCAAGCTGGGTACTCATTTTACCAACCTCGGAAGTGAGCTCCTTATTTTTCTTTTTTCTTTTTGGTTTAGTATTTCAAACTAGTGTTAAAATGATGTAGAAGAGCAGATGTGTGGACAGGCAAGCCTACCAAATAACTGAGGGAATGAGACAGCAGGTAAGAGGGCAGGTGAGCCTGCTGAACAGCTGAGCAATGCACCCTACAAATTGTGGAAGGGCTCTTGATCAGCAGCAAGCAACATGCTGGCACGGCAGCCAGCTGTGGAGACCTGGATCCCACAGGAGGGCTGAGGAGTGGATAATTCGAACAGAGAACAGGGGGAAAGCTCTGTTTTAATACTTCAAAAAATTCTTGCTATCTGATATAGCAACCTTAAAAAATAAATAAATCATTAAAAATAACACCACAGCAACTGCCTGTGAGAGGCAGCCAGTATGAGGGCCTGCTAAAAATTAATGCCAACACAGACATACACATATCTAAGTTTTAAAGAACCAACCTTATGTTGGAAAAGGAAAATACCTCACTTCTAATCAAAATAATACAATTTCCTGTCAAAATAATCCATGCTTCTACATGCTTCCTGTAGTCAATTTCTTAAAATTCAATGTAAAACATGGTAAACCCAGTTCAAATATTGTTTCTTTTCCTCTGAGACATCTGTGCTGGTGGCCTTCATATTTGTCTCTCCTGGGAGATGAATACGAAACATCCATGTCTACTAATCAGTTAAAAATAAATGTTTATGCTGAACTACAGTGTAATTATTTTCCTGCATTCTGTGAACTGACCCAAAGCTTGCCCGAGACATTTGGCTGCTTCAACATGTGCTGCATATTTAGAGATATATATTCTACGACCTTTCAAAAATCACAAAGGGTGCTTGTACATGGCAGCCCAGATTGTACATAATGCTGCCTTGGCAACTAACAGCTTTTGTTGCTTTTCTAATAATGCTAGCCTTCGGCTCACCTTTTAAAAAGGCAAGCAAACTGGTGGAAAAAGTACAAAGACCTTTTGTGTCCATGTTGGTTCTGTTTCTGTGGCCAAAGCACAACTCTGACAAGACAATGCAATGTCTGTGGAAAAAACTATTCCAAAGTCAAACGAGCAACCCTTTGTAATGCTCTAATTATTCACTCTGATTTCAGTGATTACTTTGCCTATGTAAATCTCAGATTATGCAACATTTTCCTTCTGCTCTTTCCTTATATTTTTGGATGCTACAAAATAAACTATTTTAAATTGTTGCAATATTTTTATGTTTACCTCATTCCGCTGTCAACAAACCTAATTATATACCATGAACATGTAAAATCTGTTTCCCATAAAAAACATAAATATCCCCCATCAAGCCTGCAATAATAATTATAACTGAAACATAAATGTCACGTTTACCAGAGATTTTTGATTCTATGCATGCTACAGATGATTATTTTTTTTTCCATACTAGAGGACAAGTCTCTAGAGCGAGTAGCAAGATTTCAGGCTTTGTGGATTCCTTCCAGATGGATTAAAGGACAAGAATGTTGGTGGAAACTTCTCTTCCCACTCGGGTTTACTGAGAATATTGTTTGGGAAACAAAACTGTTCTTTAAATGTTAATGGGGCTCTTGTTTATGACTTGACCTGGCTGGCTGTAAAGAAGGAGAAAGAGGGAGGCAGGGTAGTGGAAAATCGTGGCTCGCCAGCCCAGTCAGAAGCCTGCTCTTGAACATGCCTGAACAGATTGCAGAGAAAAGAGTGTGGCAGTAGCAGCAAGCAAGGGAGGATGTTGTCAGGCAGCTGTGAACATAGCTATGGAGCATCTTTGTGGGCGGTCAGTTTATCTCCTTGTGATCATTTCTACTCTTCTAGATTGGACTCTTCAGCTAATCTTCCCAGCCTCTTCTTCCAGTTCAAGCTAGCAAAAGGTACATTTGCAAACCCATTGTCTGGTGGCAATGCATGGTTTGCAGGCACAGTGTCACTAACCAACATGAAAAAGCAGATGCTAACCTGCCCACCACCACTACACTGTTGTCATGATTCTCTAGCATGAAAAAAGAGGGCAGGAAGAATCTTGTGCTATCTTAAAATGCTAACACATTTTATTTGGCATAAGCGTTTGTGGACTGCAACCCACTTCTTTAGATACAACTGAAAGCTTATACCAAATAAAATGCATTAGTCTTTGATATTGTCACGAGACACTTTGCTGGGTTTGCTACAATAAACTCGGGTTCACATGGTTACCATTCAGAAAAAGATGTACCAAACTGACTTTCACCAATAGAAAGGCTGTGTAAAAATTAAATTAGTTAATTTATTGATCAGTTAATTAATTAGGGCAGAGGACCCACAGCAGGAAAAACACTGCTAAGCAAAATGGCTGCAACAGCCACTGCTTTTGCTTCCTGTGCATAAAGATGCCGAAAAGGTGGAAAGAGGCAAATATGCCCAGTGGTCTCTTAAATCTGGCACCAGGCCACTAATCTGCATTTTCCTTGTCTTATCTAGCAATTATGCAAGAGAAAAGACATCAGCAAATTCCTGGTTTTAAAAGAGTTTTCTTTGTGTTACTTGGATGTTGCATTTGCCTTAATCTCTTCAGGGTTGCTGGTATTTCTTAGTGCACTGGAGCACCTAACAGAGAGTTTGAAACTCATGGTGTCTTCTGGGAGAGGGGCCACCCAAGTTTGCTTGGAGTGTGTGTGGCTGATGAGGTTTTCTGAGGCCTTAGTCAAGGTGCATGATCTCAAGCGCATCACCAGAAGGAGGGACTGATAAACCACTTTTAAGTATTTTACACCTAAAAGACAGGGAGGTTCATTGTATGATGATATTGACTTGACAGCACAGAGTACTAAGTCTCTGAACCATGCTTATCACAATTATACTTCTATTTATCAATTTATTTAGTTATTTTGTCCAAACCTTAAAGAAGCCATTTTAAGTGGACTAAAAACAGCTAGTAGCAGAGCAGCTCTAGAGGTTTTTCTCCTTGGTGAAATCATCACAGCTGATTGGAAAAAAATTGTGTTTATACATTTTGTTCTCTTTATGAATAGGAAAGAGCCCGAATCTGCCTGATCTACCTGGTTAATCAGCTGGCCAACATGGAACATTCATTCCACCACATCCTTTTGTTGGAGATCAAGCATATCACAGATACTTTCTCCAATATCCTGGGCATCCAGAGCAGAGACATCTACCGTATGAGTAACAGTTTCACAGCCATAGCTAAGCTTCTTATCCAACAGCTGGAAAATGAGCCTACCTCTGAGAGCAGGTAAATTCAAATATTCCATCCCTTCATCTAAGTCAGGGGTCTCCAGCCTTGGGCCTCCAGATGTTCTTGGACTTCAACTCCCAGAAATCCTGGCCAGCAGATGTGATATATCTAAGTGATATAGTGCAGCCTATTTCTACATGGGTGACATGATAGACATATTGTGATTGCACCGAGCATATCAATAGAAAAGTATTTAACTATTAAATGCCTGTAAAAAAGAGGGGGTTTGCATCTAATGTCAGCTGCTGAATGTTCATGTAGATCATTGATGACAGAACTGTATTATGCAGTTTCAGCAACGTCCTCAAAGCAGTTTTTAATGACTAAGGCAAATGGTAATTGGTTCACATGAAACTGCAATTAATGGCAACACTCTCCACCAGTTAAGGAGAGAGAGAGAGAGACAGTGTAATATTTGCAAGCTGTATCCCATTGTTTTCCATCATGGCCGTGAAACCTTGAGCATCCACCAGCAATAGTGACCAAGTCTCTATTAACAGCACCATTGAAACTGCTGGTCAGATGACAGAATTACGGGCATCTTTGCTACATTTTCTCAGCTTAGGCACTACCTATTGGCTGCTTTCTTATGCTTATAGACCATTTTTCTGACTGCTAACTTACTGCCTGTACAGATGGTAGAACAAGTGACAAGCCCTTTCTTAAGTGATGGGCATTCCTGCATTCAGTCAATTTCTATAAAGTGAGGAGGGGGGGGAGGTCATAGCCACAGGACCTCCAGAGTAGAGTCCATATACATGAAATGGTTTCAGCAGTGGTTCAGATTTCAGCAAAATGGGAAGCAGGGCCACTTAATTATCCTGGCTGAGAGATAAGCTATGTGGGCTAGTTCATTAACCTTTCTGTTTCTGTTCCAACTGATTAAGGTAAGAATCTCTCTGCAGCTTTCAGTATTTTGGCAGTCTCCTTGTTTTCCTCATCCGTCTGCATCCCTTTTTCTTTTTGTTTCATGTCTTTTAGCTGGCAAGGCAACAGGTAGGACTCTTCTCTTCACTGAACATGTCTAATCTTCTTTTTCCATAGCCCTGGCACCAACCACCCTACCAATGCTTTGCAAATCCTAGGGATTCAAATGTTTGTTCACTATTTCTTACCATTACATTTTGGAGATTAAAACATACTGAGGCATATTTTCAAGGGTTTTTTTTTCTTCTTCAAATGTTAGATCGTGGTTGGACAAATTGTTTTTTTTTAATTAACAAGAAAATGAAGAAAATTAGTAAGTTTGACATAACAGACCAAACAAGAAGAAAAATTCAGTCTATGTTAATGGTATCCTGTTGTCTTTTGATATAGAAAAGCTCTTGAACATCTTCCGGGGAACTATTATTGACATAAATTTTGTTTCAATGAACATTTTCAAAGTGTGGTAGATCAGAGCATCAAAATGTCATTTCAGAGGAATGTAACTCTTGGATCAAAGTATTCGCGAAGGCTTTCACTCTGTTCTCTGGTGTTGTCCTCTGAAGATGCCAGCCAGAATGGCGAAACGTTAGGAAGAACATCCTTCAGAACACGGCCAAAGAGCCCGAAAAACCCACAACAACACTTGGATCAAAGCTTGGAAATGTTCTTTGGGGTCTATAACTCCCAGATCAGAGCTTGGAAACGTTCCTATGGATTTATAACTCCCAGAATCTCCAGCCAGGCTGGCTAGAGATTCTGAGAGTTGTAGTCCTCAAAAGTAGTGTTTATAAGCTGGTTGGGGATTCTGAGAGTTATAGTCCTCAAAACTAATGTATACCTGGATCCATAATAGACGTAACTACCCTGGATTTAAGTCTTATTGTGACAAATGTAACACACATGTCTGTAAATGAGTCCGTCAAGTTGGTCCATTTGTAGCTGAACCTCTTACCCTACCAGATTATGGTGATGGTTCAATAGTACTGTTAACTGACCAAAATCATTGAGGTCTTTTGAATGGCAAATCTGCCTACTAGCTAACATGTCACAGTTTGTTTTCATCCCTATCTCATAATTTGTACAACCAGTCACTGTCATATGGGGCAGATGGCTGCCATGGAAGAGGAAACTTGCAAATTTTGTTTGTAATAAAACTATTCTAGAAAATGTTCCTCTGCAGAGAATTTTAAATTTTAAAAATCAAATTGTAAGTTTTCTCATAATAAAATCTTCCCTTTTCCTCCATAGTCTTCAGACAGGCAATCTCATGATGCTTCAATACTGCACAGAGTTGTTCAATAATTGTCAAAGTGTTTTGACTAAATGAATGAATGATGGCACAATCAAAGGATTTTTAAGTAGCTGGCAACTATAATTTAAGTCTTTCACCAAAATGGATAGCTTGAGCCACAGAAGTTGTTTAAGGGCACAGATAAAACAACATTGGCATGTAGCCATACTGATGCTGTTTCATGCTACAACTTTAACACAACAGATGGTTTTCATGTCTGTCCTAATAAATCCAATAAACATTAGCTAGAGTCAAATAATCAGAATATTAAAGTCCCTGAAAAACTTATTCTGAGTGCTACAAATATAACAATCACCAGTCTTCCTGTCTCACATCTAATACCTTAAAATCCCAGCAAATATCTTGTTTCATTTTTTGTTGGCGTATGGTTTCATTAACGTGATACACCAAGCCAGTTTTCAAACAGCCTTCTACATTAGTTTCATAAACACTTTGCTGTACTTGCTCCCAAAAGAAAGTCTAAAATTTTTTATACATTTGTTTACACTTCATTGAACTTCTAATAAGACCTACGCTTCACATTCAGTGCCGATAAGTATTTAAAAGCAAGGAGGGGGGCCATTGCATTTCTATACCAGTGTAAAACATTTGGCATAAATTTTAGCAGCAAAATTAAGAAACCATCATATGCATTTGATATGTGACTGAAAGCAAAACAGCAAATGCCTACACTTACTTCTTAATTTGTAGCAAGTCACTGCCAAGGTTTATACTGATTGCATTTTGCCAGAGTGTGTAATTAACAGGATTTTGACTATCCCTTAAATATGGCTGTGTGTTCAAGTGAAAAAGAGAGGAGTAAAAACACTTTTATCAAAAGCAAAGTTTCTTAAACCTCATTCATTTCAATAGAAGAGTAAGCTTTGGATTTTTTTTAAAGTGGGCTTTATTTGGGCCCAGTTTTAACTGGGTTATCCTTAGCATTTTAAAAATGTCCAGTTTGATAACACACTATAACAACATTAAATCTGTAGGGGAAGAGATTTGCAACTCACCCTATCACACTTGCTGGTCAATAAATGCTATGTTAATAAGCATTTAAGATCCACATGTCAGCTGGCCTACTCTAGTTGCAGTTTATGTCTCTAAAGTAACTCACAATTGGAATAGGCCCATTTAAATCAATGGAACCTATTGGGAGTTGACTCACCAAATATCCACTGATTCAACAGACCCATTCTATCACAGCCTACTATGCTAAGCAACAGGATTTCAGCTGATAGATGTATTCTAGTTGGATTTAGGCCAATGCATTTTAGCAGACAATATTAATCAAAGCTTTGTCCACCGCTGGTGAAAGGCTTACATGGTGTGCAGTGTTGCAGCCCAAGAGATGTTCTAGAAGCCTAAAGTCCTCTCTGTGTATTCATGGTGGTGTGTGTAGAGCTAGAAAAGCAGTCATTATAAAGAATAATCTCCCCGGCTGAGTTGCTAAAGTAGGCCACAAAGCTGGGTAATATGGTACTTCTGCAGGAATATGAATATTACCGTGTTTCCCTGAAAATAAGACAGGGTCTTATATTAAGCTTTGCTCCAAAAAAACGCATTAGTGCTTATTTTCAGAGGTTGTTTTATTTTTGTCATGTAGAACAATCTACATTTATTCAAATACAATAATGTCATCTTCTGATTGCTGCACAATGAGTCCCTGATGGAGGGTTGTTGTTGTTTTTACTTAACTGGGGCTTATTTTTGGGGTAGGGCTTATATTATAAGCATCCTGAAAAATCATACTAGGGCTTATTCTCAGGTTAGGTCTTATTTTGGGGGAAACAGAGTAAGGGGGGAAACATGGCTAATTTGAAACCTGGCTTCTTTTGATGTTTTTTTTTTACTTAACTGGGGCTTATTTTTGGGGTAGGGCTTATATTATAAGCATCCTGAAAAATCATACTAGGGCTTATTCTCAGGTTAGGTCTTATTTTGGGGGAAACAGAGTAAGGGGGGAAACATGGCTAATTTGAAACCTGGCTTCTTTTGATGAGTAGTATGGGAAACAGGGCTAATTTGAAACCTGGCTTCTTTTGATGCCAAAGTTACCCTGCCTTCTGGGAGGTGTTGTTGTTTGGCCACATTGGATGTAGATGATAAGGGCTGTAGTACAACAGAGGTGCAAGACCCCATATTGAGGAAGGCTGCAGTTTAAGAAGAATCCCATGTGTATCAGAGAGAGAGAGAGAGAGAGAATTAAAAGATCATAAATTTTCACCCAAGCAGTGAGTCTATTGCCCAAGGAGCAGCTTCTTTCCATTCTTGAGAGGAGGTGTGTGTGGGGGGGATATCTGGTGATGCAAGTTTTGGGACTCTGGGACAAGCATTATGTTACTTCAAGGCTGTGCTATGTTGTCTCAGAGTTATGATTTATTATTTTAGAGGTAAGAGTAGGATTTGGTCTTCAGCTTATAAGGGCAGGAATCCAAGGTAGAATCTATGGTCAGGACTCTCATATGTATTTAAGGACTGCTGAAACAACACACACCCCCTTGTTTGGGGCAACTTGTCATCAATCCTGCAAGTGAAATTGGTTCGTGCACAGGATTGATGACAGGACACAGCAAATCCTCTTGCCTGTGCACAACTATGTGCTGTCAAAAGCTCAAATGACAGGAAATTATATGTAAAATAAGTTGGTGCTTCTCACTGGAATCATATTCACAACCTATACAGAACTATTGGCACTTGTACAGGATCCCAGTTCTTTAAGAAAAGGGTGGTCATCATCTTCTACCATTTATTATAATTTCCTCTCTTGTTCTGT